TATTTCCATATATATATATATATATATATATATATATATATATATTTGTTTTCCTCGTTAAGGAATGTTTTCAACACATTTTCGCTGATACTCTCTTTCTAATGCTCTCTATTAACGACAGAAATTTATTGAAAATCACAATTTGATCGCTCTTACCACTAAAGAAACTCGTTAAATGCGAGGTGAAACTTACGGAAATTTGCAATTTCCAAAACATTTCAGACAATGATAAATAATGTTGCTAGTATTCATCTTTCTCATTTTCAGGCTATCATTTCAGAGATTCTCCGTTTTGACATCAGATTTGATATATTAAATCTATGTGATTCTTAATATAACATTTTTCAGGACATGGTTCCTGCCTTCTCTTCTAAGAAAGCAAGAAACTTCATTGAGGTTGAATTGGGAGCTCCCGTTGAAGTATTATTTAAGAAGTTTGAAGATCGGCCAATTGCTGCTGCTAGTCTTGGTCAGGTGTTTGAATCTAGCCCTTCTCTTAACATTATATTTTGGTTAAATTAAAAATTTGATCTTATACTTTATATTTTTCATTTTGATTCTTACATTAAAAGAATCTATAATTTAGCTATTGTCTAGTCTCTTCCAATTGATGAAGTTATAATGATACTATATTTTGTGTAATCGTTAAACTTTATATTTAGGGGTAAAATTTGACCTTATACACTGAATTTTTCCTACTGTCTTTCACTTCTGTTGTTAAAAACTTGTAGCATGATAATAACTTGGTGGACCTTGTCTGTAGGTTCATCGTGCTATTCTGCATAATGGAGAAAAAGTTGTTGTCAAAGTTCAAAGACCTGGTCTGAAGAAGCTTTTCGACATTGATTTGCGTAAGTTTAGATCATTTTGTTTCTGCTATTGACAACACCGTGGGATTTTGATTAAGAGGATGTTACTAGAGACTTTGATTCTATTTGCCGCTATTCTCCCTTTTTGTTTTGTTTGAGGGACTGGTTCGTTTCTAGAAACTCTAATCTGAAGAAGGGTATTTATGCATAGCAGCATAGGGTTTAAGGATTACAATTTTAGTGAACTATTTTTTTTGTTACTCTGACAAGTTTGCTTGTTCTCTCCAGAAAACTTAAAGCTGATTGCAGAGTATTTTCAGAGAAGTGAAACTTTTGGTGGTCCAACTAGAGATTGGATTGGAATATATAAAGAATGTGCAACGTAAGTAATAACTAATAAGCATGCATGAAGTAAATCATATGTTAAATTGTATTCAATGCATTTCACCTTCTTTTCATTACCTTATTTTTCCCATTCCCAATATAATTTATAATTTGTTGCACATGCTACTCTGCAGTATTTTGTATCAAGAAATTGATTACATTAATGAAGGAAAGAATGCTGACAGATTCCGCCGAGATTTTAGAAACATAAAGTGGGTTCGGATACCTGTATGTTTCTTGCTGCAACACTAGCATCTGATTATAACCCTATAAATTTTTAGTGTCTGGTAATTTTTTTTTTTAAATTTGATCACATCTCCATTTCTTCCGTTGTAGCTGGTATATTGGGATTATACTGCATTGAAAGTGTTGACCATGGAGTATGTACCAGGTTTTGATCTTGACTAGTGCATGTGCATTATTTCTCGTTCTTGTATATGACATTATGGTAGCTAGTAATTTTCTTTCTTCAAAGTGATATATTGTATATGACATTATGCCAGACATTAGCTAGTAATTTACTTCTGTGGGACAGGTATCAAAATAGATCAGGTGAATACGTTAACTTCGCGTGGTTATGATCGCTTGAGGATCTCATCACGTGCTACTGAGGCGTACCTGATTCAGGTGCACCACCTTGGTTCTCTCTCAATCATGATTTAATAGTAATATCAAATATGGTTTTCGTTTTGGTTACATAGAATAAGTAAAATACCTCTATAGATATATTAAAACCAAAAAAGAAGAATAAATTGTCCCTTGAAGTCTGAAGATAAGTTTTGTTCGCATTCTTGTAGCAAAAGTTGAGTTAATAAATTATATTCTTTTTTTTTTTTTTTTGCCTTACAGATATTGAGAACAGGTTTCTTTCATGCCGATCCTCATCCTGGAAATCTTGCTATTGATGTGGATGAAGCGATTATTTATTATGACTTTGGCATGATGGGAGAGATCAAATCTTTTACCCGAGAGAGACTGCTTGAACTTTTCTATGCTATGTACGAAAAGGATGCCAAAAAGGTCTTGATTTGTACTACTCTTGGATTATTTAAATTTAGAACATTGTCTTTTACTGATAAGAAATCACAATTTGATATCATGATAAGCTATTTTGATAGTGTTTAATCAATATCTATTTTTTAATTTCATCACAACTACATAAAAATGAATTTTTCTTTCAGTACAATTACAATTGTAAATTCAGCTAACCAGTGATTATCTTCAGCAAAATGGAATCTGACGTTGATCAACTTCAGTGTCCCCTCTTTCACATTTTTTTTAACACAATTATACAAGAAACAATGATGCAGGTTATGCAATGCCTTATAGACCTTGGAGCCCTCCAACCTACTGGGGACCTGTCATCAGTAAGAATGTCAACTACCTACTCTTCAAATATTCTGATTGTTGTCTTGAAATTTGACTTCATAAATGATAAATTTACATTCTAGGTGAGGAGGTCTGTGCAGTTTTTCCTGAACCATTTGCTAAGCCAGACACCAGATCAGGAGCAAACCTTTTCTGCAATTGGGGAGGTTTGTGTTCATTGTTATATTAGATCAATGAATTCATATCTTCTGTCATAATATTTTGAGTCTTTAATTTAATGGAACCAAATTTATAAGTATAAGCTGAAGATGGAGAATCAATTTTCTTCACTTGGTTGTTCCAAAATATCTAGAGAATCTACAGTACACAATTTATTATTAAGGGCTTTCTGTGGCAGGATTTATTTGCAATAGCACAAGACCAGCCATTCCGTTTTCCATCCACCTTTGCCTTTGTTCTCAGGGCGTTCTCAACACTTGAAGGTGTGCATCTTCCCAATTTTTCTACTTCTCTCTTTAAGGATCATTCATTCAAACATTTTAAACTCATCCCAATGTTTATTATTAATTTCACATTAGTATATGCATTACAAACTCCAATGCAGATGTTTATATTTCTTACAATAGTGGGTTTGAGCTTAACTTAACCCTACAAAATCATTTTGTAAGGTGAGATTTGTTTTCCACTTATATACACTTTTATAGTCTTATTCCTAGTCGACTCCAACACACTCTTCTCACGTCAAAGATTGGACATCTTGAATGTGAAGTGACTGGACATCTCAAGTGTGAAGTTTGCAAGACTAGACATTTGCAAATGGTCTGATAACGGTTCGATAGCGGGTGACTTGATAAACTCACTAACAATCAATAATCACTAGAATATAAACTCTATTAGGCTCTAATACCATCTTAGAATATTTGGATCTAACTAAACCCTACAAAATCAATTTATAAGGAGAGGATTGTTCTTTACTTATATCATTGGAGCGAATGAGTGTTTATAAAAGTTACTTATATGAGCAACTAGAAACAAGGCTGCTTATTAAGACATAAACAGCTTAATAGAATACTTATTATATTCTTAGCAAAGTACTTAATTTATAACCTTAAATGTGAAGTTTACCAAAATATGCTTCATTTGAAATTTATTGAAATAAGTAAAAACAGAAAAATGATATATTTGAACTAGTTCTTTGTATTTCTTCATTATGTGTTTATTCCTTTTTATTTTTCCAACAGGCATAGGTTACACACTCAATCCAAATTTCTCCTTTGTGAAGATTGCTTCGCCCTATGCGCAGGTTCAGAGTTCATATTGTCCGTGAACAATTACAGTTCTCATACTGCATTAAAATGCAGTGCTCATACTTTTCACTACGTTGCAGGAACTTTTAGATATAAGGCAAAAACATCGCACTGGAACACAACTCGTGGAGGAGATAAGAAAGCAAGCAGATGATGTACCACACCTTTCTATTTTATGTTCTGGATGATGTTTCTTTATAATAGAAAATTCTTATTTGGAGTGAAGCATTTATTTATAGCATTATGCATCCACTTGAATTGACAACTCTCGTGTAACACTTTTAGGCTAGAGCCTATACCATGTCAATGCCATACAGAGTTCAAAAAATAGAAGAGTTCACAAAGCAACTTGAGGCAGGGGATCTAAAACTACGGGTCCGAGTGCTCGAGGTCAGTTCATTTTTTTTTCTTCACATGGTTTATGCTGTATGATCATCTTAGACTTTTGGGTTTGAGTACAATTTCAATCCCAAAAACTAGTCCATACATGAGTCGAAGGATGTCCTAACAAGGGTCCAATGACATATGATCCAGTAAGTTTAACAATAATGGCTAATGTAGTGTAACCTTTGATATCATCTTATAATTTGAGTTTAGGAATAATTCAACTCCAATAATTAGTTAGAGATGAGAATTATCCATCACTTATATTATGCATAGCTTTTTTAAACAAAAAATCTTCACATGATATATGTTATATGATCATCTTAGATTTTTTGGGTTTGAGTCTAGTCCAACCCCAAGAACTTTCATGAATGAGGTGAGTGTTGGGGTTATTTTTGACAACTTGTTCGAGATGATATATTTATATTAAGAAGGGGGTTAAAACTTCAGTTTTACTTTTAGGTATAATTCAAAAGATTTTTCAATCATTAGAATATGTGTGTAATTTATAAATTTTTATTTCTTCTGTTATTTTATCAATATGGAGTCTTATTTGTATTTCAACATGTTAAAATTTGGATTACTTCTGGTTTATAAACACTATTTTTGTTGTGGCATTCCCAACAGATCCAAGACACCGGTTCTTGCATTTTCTTGATGAGAATAATTTTCTATTTAGGAGGCAATTATTCTGAAACTTTTTGATTTGTAAATTTGAAATTATTGAACTTGATTTGCTAGTCTGAAAGAGCTGCTAGGAAAGCAACGGCTTTACAAATGGCAACTATGTATACCGTAATAGGAGGAACTCTGCTAAATCTTGGCATTACTATGAGCAGCCAGGGCAATATAGCCGTTGCGAATGGATCTTTCATTGGTGCAGGTGACTTTTATATTATAAAGTTTTTCTCAAGTTATTGTCCAATCATGTTCAAATTTATTCTTATGGCTGACTGGCATAGCATTTCCATCATGTGCAGGTATTTTTATGACACTATTTGTAAGATCCATGCAAAGGGTAAAGATGCTTGATAAGTTTGAGAAAATGATATAACTGGTTACCAACAAATTTAATTCTTTATGTAAAGTTGTCCTCGTCTCCATTTTCTTAATTGTAAACGTTCAATCTCTCCTCTTTTCTTTTCTTTTCTTTTCTATTTTAATTGCACAAGCATATCAAACTTCACGAGTTTTACAGAAACAAGATTGGGTGATGACTGATGACACTGCAAGGCATTTCATGGCTTCAAGACAACCAAAAATTCATAGTTTCTAAGTGAGAAAGAAAATTGTTGGCCCGTGACCCTTATTTAATTGGCGATAGTTACTTGCTAGTTTTAGACAGTACAGTGATTAAATTCTATTCTGAAACAAACAAAAAATAAATTTCAGTCTCCTCTTTCCGTTTCTTCCCTCTTTAATGCTTACAGGGCCAAAGCTTTCCTTAGACTAAGGTGGAACAAAGAAAAGTTTTATATTTAAATTAAAACTTAAATAAAATAAGAAGGAAAGATAATTTTTTTTTTTTGCAGTTGAAGTTGAAGAGAAAATTAAGAAGAAATGAAGAAAACATTTTTTTTAGAAGTCAATTTCTTTCTCTTCCTTTCTTTCTTTTTTCCCTAATATCTCATTTGTCAAATAAAAACAATGCATCGTTATTTATTATTTATGTTTTCTTTGGCATCTATTTTCCCTTTTTTATACAAACACGTCTAACATGGTTGAACAGTTGGGGGAGGAAAAGAACAAATTGAAATTTGCTAAAGTTTGGCCTATGGAGTCTTGATCTAAATTGGCAAGTAAACTTAATACATTAAAGTATTAAACGGGTTTTGCGTGGTTCACATTTTTCTCTCAGCTTATTATTAGAAAAAAGAAAACTCTATTTTCGTGGTTGACGTTTTTCTCTCAGCCTCCAATTAAAGGAGTTAATTATCAATATTTAATGAAATAAGTAGTAGTGAATTCTACTCTTAACATATTATTTATAATTTAAATGTTGTTTTTAAGTATTGAATGTAGAGAGGAATATGTATTTTATCGATATTTACACTCCTTAACATAAATTAATCACTATTTTTAATGGTTGATATTTTATATAATATCATAAATAAATAAAATTGTTTAACTTCCATAGCAAGAATAAAAATATATATAAAATCATCTTTAAAAAAACTAAATTATGTATAAAATAGTATGTGATCTTATTATTATTTTATTAATTAATTGTGAATAAATGCTTTAAGTTAATTATTAATAATCAATGTATCAATCATTTATTGACTTAAGCAACTCCTATTCTTCATTTAATTATCATATTGTTCGTGAAATATATTTTCGTACCTAAAAATAAATAAATTTAAGAATAAGGACTAAAAAAATATTTAATTAATATTATCATAGTATTTATATATTTAAAAATTTTAAACTATTTATTGTTTTGAAATATACGTCATTAATTTTAGATTATTAAACTTTTATTCCACCAAAAAATTATTAAATTTATATAGTAAATATCATTAATATAAACGGTTTAATTCTTGATTAAATATACTTAAGTCCGTTGAATTTATTAGATCTCACATAAAGTTTTGATCCCATCGACACCTATAAAAATTCAAGTATACATGACATACATTAGTTCAAATATAATTTGAATGGATATATACTTTTATTTAAAATTTAATTATATTTATATTATTAATAAAGACGATAATATTATTTGGTATTCACAATTTTTTTAGTTAATATAAAGCTATTTAATCATTGATTAAATGTTATTAGCTCATCATATTTATTGGGGATAAGTTGTTAAATTAAATTAGATCCGACAATTATTATAAAATTCAGATCTTCATCTAACACGATAAAAAAGCTCAAGTATAGTTTTCACACACACAATGACATGAATCTAAATGAAAAATTAATTGTATTTGATTGTAAATAGAATAATTTATTAATTATAATTTGGTATGAATGAAACACCAAAAAATATTACAATTCAAGACCTTTGAATAAATATGGTGTGAGTTTTAATGTTTTATTCATTCCAATTACAAAATGTGGCAAGCGTATGGCAAATGGAATGATACAGTTGTATGTATGTTAGTTGATTGGTAGGTGGCGTGGAAGGTGCACGGGTGCCATTATTATTATTATTATTATATTAAAAATAAAAAATAATTAGTGTGCATCGCATGCACCGCATCCTCAATTTCATTATGCAAACCTAAAACTAACCTCAACACTTAATTCTTATATCTAAATTTCAGCCAATAAAAAAAAGGAAACAACAATTATCAATTTATTTCTAACAAAACGCTACTCTAATCTACCCTTTTTTTATGCCACTAACATATCTTTTAACCAAAATTACAAGCTTAGATATAATTTCTTAATCAGTACTTATATGGAAAAAAAAATTAAATTAAAATTAGTTTATATAGAAATTATAATCAACTTTTAGTAGAATTAAACCGGATATTTTTACAAATTAATTTATACATTAATTAATTTTAATTTACAATAAAACATTTATTTTTTCTTATTTTCTTTTAATACAAACAAATTTAGAAAGTTATGTCTTGTAAGATTATCAAAATGAATTGTATTTATATCTTGGAAAGCTTTTTTCTTTTTTAATAATGAGTAGACATTCATTTTGATTTTGTAAAAGTGACTATGAAACTAAAATAATATTAGATATCTACTCTTAGTCACTTTTATAAAATTAAAATGAATGTATATATATATATATATCAATATTATTATCTTACAAAATTAAAATAATTTCTTTAAATTTTATTATTCTTTAAATTTTATTATTTATTATTATTTTGTATCTTATATATATATATATATATATATATATATTAATTTAGAGTTGACACGTTTGTCAATTTACAATATTAGATATCTATTTGTTATTTGTTTTTAAATTTAATATGATAAAATTTTATAATTTAACAATTAAATTAACCATTTACTCGTTTCTTAATCCTTAATTAGCATGCAATTTCTCTCAACTTAAATATAAGTAAAAAAATTGAATAGTAGATCTCAAAATAAATAAATCTAAACTAATTTTAACTTATATCTCTAAAATATCTTTCATTTAATTTATATTATATTATATTTTTAATAATTTTATTCATAATATTAAGTTTTAAAATGATAAAATAAGAAATAATTAAAATTTACAAAAATAAATGATATTTATTAATTTTTAATTAATTAAAACTAACGATGGTTATTGGTTTAATAGTAACATCATAATGGACTTTAAATTAGGATAGTAGTTGTCTAAGGCAAAAGAAAGTAATAAAAAAGAATAAATAAAATTGTTTAACAATGTTGTGGCAGCATCACATCGAAGACTTGGTTACATAGAAATGGAAAGTGCGTGCACCTCGTGGCTGGCGTCTGTATATAAAGAGTGAGATCAGTCGCAGCATACGCATTGCTGCACTCTTCACTTCACCAACCGCGGAGGTAACTATTAACTAACTCTCTCTCTTTCTCGCTTCCTACCTCAATTTTTCATCAGATCCGCCTTCCATATTTCATCATTTCTATTTCTCTGCTAGATCTCTATTTTTCATCTCATCATCGCTTTTCTATCCTGCGCTCGTTGCATCTTGTTTGTTTCTATCGAAAATTTTCTCAATATTAAGAGCTCAAATTCTGCTATTATCATTTCTGATGTTTCGTATAATCCATCATGCATGAATTTTGTTCTCAAAGATTATGTATCTTAGCTGGATAATTAAACCTGGATATGTCCATGTTTATTTATTTGGATTACAGATTCCATTTTCGTCTATTTCGATGGCTCCAGCTGCAGCAGAATCTATAAAGCCTAGAGGTCGGTCATCAAACACTTTGGCTTACATATATACATTATAGTATAGAGTATAGTGAAGTATTGATGTGTTTATATACCATTTGTTTGATTCATTTTAGGGCTGTGCACGGTTCGATTGTTTGATAAAATCTAACCAAACCGGTTCGAACCATTTTATATAAAGTAGAAACCGTTTGCATGTGTGAACCTTTTTTTTTTTTTTTTTTTTTTTTTTTTTAATAAAGTGGATTGATTTGGTTCTCTTTCGTTTGGCTATCCACTTTATATTTATATATGGTTTGGTTTTCTCAAAGAACCAAACTGAACAACTGACTTTATAAAAAAGAATAGCTTAATCAGACTGTTTTTACAAAGTGGATTAATTTGGATTTCATCTCAAAACCATTCAATTTTTATAATCCGGTTCGGTTTTGCTGCACACACCTAATTCATTTAATCTTCTAAAGTTTTATTCTGTATATCTGTTCATTTCATTCATCAGGCACAATTATAAAGAAAAAATGAAACATTAATTTCCATATCTTAATTGTAAACTCTCACAGACTGGATGCATTTTGGTTTAGTTGATCTTATCTCTGTTTGATTTCTCTAGATGTTTGCATTGTTGGTGTTGCACGTACGCCAATGGGTGGATTTCTTGGTACTTTGTCATCTCTACCTGCCACCAAGCTGGGCTCTATTGCTATTGAAGGTAACTACGGATGCCTATGATGGTGTCTATTATGTTGCATTTGAAACTTATATATGCTTACATATTTTTTGGTTGATATGCAGCTGCTCTTAAAAGGGCCAATGTTGATCCATCACTTGTGGAAGAAGTATATTTTGGGAATGTTCTTAGTGCTAATTTGGGGCAAGCTCCTGCAAGACAAGCTGCTCTTGGAGCAGGAATACCTAAATCAGTAATCTGCACTACTGTTAACAAAGTTTGTGCATCGGGAATGAAAGGTGTGTAACTTATTATTAAAAGAATTCTATTTGTTTCTTTGTATTTTTTTTTAATATAGAAAAAGGATATGAAACTTGTTCTGGTTATTGCAGCTGCAATGCTTGCTGCACAGAGTATTCAATTAGGCATAAATGATGTTGTTGTGGCTGGTGGTATGGAAAGCATGTCTAATGTACCTAAGTACCTGGCTGAAGCAAGGTCAATATTGAATTTAATTTGACACTCTTCCTAAGATTAGTTTCTGTGTTGAAATAAACTGATTCAATACTAAAAGTTCAGGAAAGGATCCCGCCTTGGACATGATTCACTTGTTGATGGGATGTTGAAAGATGGTCTGTGGGATGTCTATAAGGATGTTGGCATGGGAGTGTGTGCTGAGCTGTGTGCAGATAACCATTCATTAACAAGAGAAGACCAGGTATTTTAGGTTTAATTTCTGTTCAGAAAGGTTGTGGCAGGTTCATTGTAATAGATTTTTTGTTGATGTCTCTGTCTTTCCCTCAGGATAACTTTGCAATTCGGAGTTTTGAACGTGGAATTGCTGCCCAAGACAGTGGTGCCTTTTCATGGGAAATTGTTCCGGTTGAAGTCTCTGGTGGAAGGGGAAAACCATCAACAGTTGTTGATAAGGATGAAGGTTTAGGAAAGGTAACCGTTTAAATAACTTGAACCATGGTAATACTTGTTCTTGTATGGTGACTCATTGAAAACTCATGTTTACCCAATAATCTTTCCTAGTTTCAGGAGTGCTAACATTTTTAAGAAGACTATAGGGTTTTTAAGCATAAGAATATAGATATGGCTTGGTATATTTTCTAAATACTTCCATGTCTACTTAGGTGAACAATTAATCAGGAGTAGGGATTGGAATTTATAAAATAAAAAATAAAAAAAATAAAAAATTCTCTTCACATAAACAACATTTATATGTAAGTACTTCTAGCTGCAAATATAGTAAGTTACTATAGTTATTAATTTTGTTTATACTTGCAGTTGATTACAATTCAATTAATGTTATATTTTTTCTTTTCCTATTCCAGTTTGATGCTGCCAAGTTACGCAAACTTCGGCCAAGTTTCAAGGAGACTGGAGGTTCTGTTACTGCTGGCAATGCTTCCAGCATAAGGTTAATATACTATAGAAACTTTCTCAATTTTTCATGTTTTTTTCCAACATAACAATTTGTATTGGGATGCTCTTGTCAATTATTAGTTGTTATAAAATTAGATAATTCATGAATGGTCAGAATTAAAACACATAAAACATGTGAGTTTTTAAAAAGTCAAATGACTTTTTTTAACTGGTCATGTGGCCTTAAAAACCTTTAATCTTGACCAGCTATGTATGGTTGTATGACCAAAATTTGTTCCTTTTATTTTTATATGAAACTGGCTTTTTCACTAAATACATCCATCTCTGTGTGTGTGTGTTTGTGGGGGGTGGTAAGAACAATTCTTTTAAATCTGTCACTTGTTCTTGGTAGTATACATAGCAAAGAGTTTTTTGCCTGTATCATCTTTGAGTCACAAGTGATTCAGTTAGAGTGATATTTGTGACTTATTTAATATTTTATATGCTTCCTTGAATATTTACTTTTTATTAGTTTAAATACTCAAATACTGTTAATTGACATATTTTTTGTTAGTTTTAGTTTGACACGAGCCCTTTTTTAATAAAAATGAAAATGTCTTTGCTAACAGTGATGGTGCTGCTGCACTCGTTTTGGTGAGTGGAGAGAAGGCACTGAAGCTTGGGCTTCAAGTTATTGCAAAAATCACTGGATATGCTGATGCTGCTCAGGTACATAAAAATCATTTTAAATATGAACTACATCTTTGGGTCATAAAAAAATATGAAATAGATTATTTGTAGTATTTGGTGTATTATTAGTATAATTTCAGACTCATGTGGTTTAGCTGTGCAGGAACCAGAGTTATTTACAACAGCTCCATCCCTTGCCATTCCCAAAGCTATTGCCAGGGCAGGGTTGGAGACTTCAAAAATTGATTTTTACGAAATTAATGAAGCTTTTGCGGTAGGATTTGACACCAAAGTTTTAATTGTATTAATTTTTCAATTCATTATTCTGTTAATTTTAACTCTTCGTATTGCTGTCTGTAGGTTGTGGCTCTTGCCAATCAGAAACTTCTTGGACTTGATTCGGTGAGTTTTTTCCCGTGTTCCTCTGTGAAAGTTGTAATCCTCTAGTTTTTGTGTAATAAACTATTTCCGATTGACTGTCTTGAAGAATGCATACAGTTGTAGATCCTGAACCCCTCTTACCATGTTAAACTTTGTCTATAATCCATAATTTGTCTTCACTGTGGCCATTAATGGCTTTACCTTCTACTCATGTAACTATTATTTTTCAGGAAAAAGTAAACGTACATGGTGGAGCTGTTGCACTGGGTCATCCTCTTGGTTGCAGTGGTGCTCGCATTCTGGTGACACTTTTGGGGGTATATATTCAGTTTATAACTTTGATCAATTTACAATATATAATAGCACGTTGGCAGATTTCCTTTTATTGTGTTTGAAGAAAAAAGTATATAATAGTGCTCATATCTCTTAAATTCTTTGTTTAATTATTTAAGCTCCTTATGATCAGTTATTCAAAATATTAATAATTTACAAATAATAGCGATGTAATTATTTTACTATTTTGTCCTATTGTTCTATTTTTCTTAATGAACTATATTGACAATCCAGTGAGAGTAGTTTGTTGTAAAACTGAACCGAACAAATCTTGATCATTAGATGTTATATGAATGGTATTAGAACATGAAGTCATAATTGTTTGTTAAGCGATCATCTTTTATTTAAGTAACTTACAATTCTGAGTATCTATATATTGATCTTCTCGCAATATTGATTTTTTTTTTCAATTCAGTTAACATAAAAGTAATCACCCGCAGGTACTGAAGCAGAAGAATGGGAAGTATGGAGTTGGTGGCATTTGCAATGGAGGAGGTGGTGCATCTGCCCTTGTTGTGGAGCTTCTGTAGGCCTTTTTTCATGTTCCGTAGATGTCCTTTAAGTCAGCGTTTAGTGCAAAGCTCAAAGATTCTGCCTCCCTCTTTAGCCGGTGTACATCCAAGTTTCAAATTTATTACGAGGACAGGACGGAAAGAAGAAAGGTTGT